ATGTTCGGATAACGGTCAACTCAAATTACAAAAGAAAAACAAACAAACACAAGTACAATCATTTTTATCATGGAATACAGCATGGAATGTCTATGAAATGATTATTATGGAGCACAACCCCAGCGCCTATTCTGATCTGAGAACATATAGAGCACACATTCAGGAATGCGACAAAAAATTCCAATGGTCAGCTGTGTCACAATATGACATCCGTTTTAGACTGAAATTAGGGGCCGCAAAATCATTTGCGTTTGGTAATTTGGATACATTCTTATATACCACTATATTAGACGCATCTGCAGTCAAACATGTTGCCATTAAGTGTTACAGGTGTAAAGGAGATCATCAAGTGTCTAAATGTCCATTTCTCGAGACGAATAAGGTGGAGACGGCGGAGAAAAATGAGAAACCGAAAGGCACAGGAAATATTAGTGGAGAAATTTGTAACAAATTCCAAACTGGAGAATGTACTTTCGGAAATCGTTGTTTTAGAAAACACGTCTGCAAAAATTGCAAAGTTGGCCTGTTGCCATACGCCAAATGTGATTGTTCAAAGTAAAACAGAGATAAGTCCCTATAATCCTTTGAATGTTGAATATTTCGAAAACAAGTTGAAATCTCATCCTGATCGTGAATTTGTAAATAATATAATACAGGGTGGTACATTTGGAGTTAATCTTGGCTACACAGGACCTCGGGGTCCAAGAATTCATAAAAATTGGAAATCAACACAAATATATAGCGAAGCCGTGGAGGCTAATATACTCAATGATTTGAAAATAGGTCGTAAAGCGGGACCGTTTATCACACAACCTTTCTCTAATTTTGTCGGCTCCCCGATGGGCGCATACGCTAAAAAGCGCTCGGTTCCTGTAAAGTACAGGATTATACATGATTTGTCATGGCCTCCAGGTGGCGCTATAAACGATTTTATCTCAAAAGAAGATTATTCGTGCTCATATGTATCGGTTGACAACGCTATAACCCTAATTAAAGCCCATGGGCGTGGTAGTTTGATGAGTAAAATCGACCTAGCAGACGCTTTTAAACATATTCCAGTGAGACAAGCTGACTGGGAACTATTAGGTACGACATGAGAAATGATCGATATGGATAGCGGTGATAAAGTAATGGTGTATATAGTAGATTTAGTTTTGCCGTTCGGTTCCAGAAGTTCACCTAGAATATTCTCAGATTTTGCGGACGCTCTACAATATATTATGATAAACAATGGCGTTAGTTCGTGTATACATTACTTGGATGATTATTTTACGTGTGGACCCCCTGAATCGGATATGTGTAATAACAATTTGAATATTATGTTAGAAACATGTGAAGATGCCGGTTTCACAGTTAACAAAAAGAAAACTATTTTACCAACATCGAAGTTAGAGTTTCTGGGAATCGAGATAGACTCGGAAGTTCTCGAGATGAGGATTACAAATAACAGATTGGTAGACATTTTAGATGAGCTTAAAGCGTGGCGATATCGTCAAAAAGCGTCGAAAAGAGATATCCTGTCTTTGATAGGAAAACTTAACTTTATATGTAGACTAGTGCGCAGTGGTAGAACGTTTCTACGAAGAATGATCGATCTATCTACTTCAGCGAAATATCTGCATCATAAAATTAAACTGAATAAATCGTTCAGATCTGATATTCAATGGTGGCTGTATTATCTCCCAAGATGGAATGGGATTTCCGTATTCTACGAAGATCAATGGACCACGAACACACAGTTAAAGCTATTCACAGACGCATCTGAAAAATCCTATGGAGCGTATTTCCAAGGAGATTGGCTTAAAGGATCGTTCGCCCAGGAAGATTCCCATCAAAATATCACATGGAAAGAACTTTACGCCATTGTTGTAGCAATAGCTACTTGGGGAAAACAGCTTTGCCAGAAAAGGATTATAATCAGATGTGATAACGAAGCCATAGTATATGTGGTTAACTCAGGAACAAGCAGAAATAAACACTTAATGTCACTAGTCAGAGCTTTATTCTTCTATTGTGCCTCAGTCCAATGCGAATGTAGATGCGTGCATATAGAGGGACAAAAGAATATATTAGCCGATGCGTTAAGTAGAGACCAAATGGACAAGTTTTATAAGTTCGTGTCATCAAACGATACGAGGCAATGGGAACCAGTAAATATTAAAGTATTTTACTGAATACAAATCATGAGAACAAAAGCTTACCATAGTATTTTATCATATCATATATACCAGTCACCTTTAGATTGATACAAAAATTCAATCGAATTTCACTGTACGCCATCAGGCAATATAAACGAGTATTGTTGAATGTATGCTCATACTTGTAAATAGTTATTTTTATACATATGTAGAGATAGACTAGTTAATCGTATTAATGTTAATTAATATTTATTTTGTCAGGGTCTTTGGACTGTCAGGAACTAAAGAAAACGGCTCAAGATTTGGTAAGAAGAGGATTACGTCCTGCCACTAGAAAGACATATTCATCAGGTCAAAAATCTTTCATGGAATTTTGTGATAAAGCCAATTTAGAATGTCTTCCAGCATCAGAAGAATGTCTTTTAATGTACATAGCATATTCTTATGAAAAGAAACTAAGGCATGGCACAATCCTCAATTACTTATATGCAGTGAGATCCATGCACCTTGAGCACGGGTTCAATGATCCTTTAGAAAAATCTTTTAAAATAAAAAGAGCACTACAAGCTGTTTTAATAGAACAAAATAATTCAGGAGATAGCGCTAATCAAAAAGATGCTATTACAGCTGAAAGGTCTGGGAAAGGTCTAGAAGCAGTTATAGCATGCACAAAGCAACCTATGTGTGCGGTGTGTTCTACTGAAATGTACATTAGTCGTCGTAAGTCAGATTCAAATGCACTTTTTGTTCTGAGTAATGGACAACCAATAGATAGAAAATGTTTCATATCCCATCTTAAGGTCTCCATGGCAGTTTTAGGGTATAACCCAGCAAAATTCTCTGGTCATTCTCTTCGTAGCGGGGGAGCGACCACAGGGGGTAATGTAGGCCTTAAAGATTGGGAAATAAAAGCTATCGGTAGATGGAAAAGTCAATGTTATCAGAGATACATTAGAATACCCAAGGAAACCCTTTGCAAATTATCGGCAAAATTGACAGAACATTAATGTTTAATTACATGTTGTAGCCTTTAAATTGTATAGATATCCGTGGCTATGTATCTTAATATTTTGTACTTATGTTAGATCTATCAGTGGTGATTAGTGTTTACGCGTGAAACGCATAGTGTATAATGTTATATCGTCGTTTGGGCGGCTGTTGGGCGGTTTTTACAAGTTAAAATAAAACTGTTGAAATAAAGCATCCGCTCATTTTAGCCCAAACGACGTGTTTTTGTTTAATTTGTGTTTTGTTCCTGGTGATGGAGGAGGACATTAATGATTATTTACAAAGTAAATAGTTTTTAATAGCATAGCGACATCTTTATTATCTTACTATAACTGATTATTAGCGCATGCGTATGTACATTCGATCGATTTACACTTAGTCATAGTTGAGTAAAGCTTTTTCCACACCCTCCCACCCAGTTTATGGGACAATTTGTAAATGTATTTTGTATCTATGTATATTTATTGTCTAAACGTATATATGTTTCTTTTATATTCATAGGGCGGTTTTTACAAGTTAAAATAAAACTGTTGAAATAAAGCATCCGCTCATTTTAGCCCAAACGACGTGTTTTTGTTTAATTTGTGTTTTGTTCCTGGTGATGGAGGAGGACATTAAAGCATATAGTGCTAATAGAACTAACAGTGCCATGGGAGGAAAACATACAGGAAGCTCAAGAAAGGAAGCGAGAAAAATATGCAGAACTAGTGGAGCAGTGTAGGAACAAGGGATATACAGCCAGATGTGAACCGGTAGAGGTTGGCTGTCGAGGGTTTGCAGGACAATCCCTCTGGAGAACATTAGGACTATTAGGAATAAATGGCAATACAAGGAAGCAAGCAATTGGAAGTATTACAAGAATAGCAGAGAAAGCATCAAAATGGCTCTGGATCAAAAGAGCAGATGACTGGAAAACAATTAAACATTACTAATAGAAGTATTTAGCTTGAGAAGCACACACTTGTCCCACACCACTTTGGTGGGGTCACCTGGTAGAGTTATACAATGTTGAAAGACCCGAAATAACAATGAAACCAGGCACATTGCTGATGATGGGACAAGTGCATACAGTAACACCAAAGTATGTTTGTCAAAAGTAGGAAGTTGTAAGAAATTGTTACAGACGCCGGACGCCAACCTCCAACCACCAACCACCAACCGCCAACCACCAACCGCCGTCGCAAAAAAACGGAGACCATAACAATATGTCACCACTTTTGGTGGTGACATAATAAACACTATCATAAGAGGTGAAATATACTTTGAGATAAGTCCAAAAGCTCAATTTGGTATGAAGTCGTACCTTTTTGAGATGAGCCGGTCATTTGACAGGCAAACTTTTATAAAGACAACCCTGCTGAATTAAAAGTGGCAGTCCATATGATCAGCATTAAAATGGAACTTAGCTAAAGCTCTGGTTAAGGTGTGCCACCATAAGTGTACATTCAGGTAGACCAGTGTACATGTACATATATCTTATATAAGTATCCTTCAACTGGTGTACATAAATCTTGTATTAGTACCCTATCTTTTAGGAGAATTTCCCATGAAACAAACCATACAAATGACATTAATTTAGTTATTACAAAAATAAAAGTTATTTATATTTCATCAGGATGTTATACATGTCAAAACCAACACATTTATTGCGTTATACCAATACTTTATAATAATTAAAAAATTATTTTTAATAATCTTGTCTCGTTAACTAAATTTTTTCAAATAAATAGTCCAAAAAATTATTTTTGTTGTTGAAATAGTGAATTTTCCCAAGCATATTTCTAAACAAAGAGATTATTTTTCATCATTTTTGGTATATAAATAAAGCATGGGATTCTTTACTCATTCACCTATAGCCTAGCAGAGGATCTTTGGATGAAAAATGTAAGTATTTCATCATAATATAAAATTATGCGATGATTATCAATCTGTTGAAAAATTTATCATTAAGCACAAAAACATATCTACCAATGTTCTCTCATATGACTATACTGCAAACTATTTTATGTTAACAGTTAAACCTGTCTAATCCGAACGCCATTATGACCGGCTTAAAGCGTTCAGATGAGGAGGTGTTCAGGTTTCGAGGTTTTGCATTCGTGAGATTCTGGATTCTAAAGAAAGGTGAACACATTCTGGGTACATATTTATAGTTCATTTGACCACATAGCTTTACGGCATTTCAGAAAGGGGGAGGGAAATTAGCGCAACAGATTTTGGACAGTCATATGTTGGATATTGGCCATTTTCTGAGAATTTAAACAATTGCATATGTTAGGCCAATGCATTATCTCCAGGAAAATCACTTCTAGAGATGATAAAATAATTTCGACTTTGAGACAGGGTAGATGCAAACAACCCACCCATATGTTTTTTCTGAAATGTTTTCCTAATCTTCGACCCCTTCCATCCCTGCTTTTTTAATTTTTCTTGCATCAATATGTTGCATTTTGACACATAGTTAACCACTGTAAAGGAATTAGTGATTCCTTCAGGGGTTTTAAAGATACCCATTTTGGGTGACCAACTTAGCTGAAAGCAATGATTTTTCCTATGGGAAAATAACATGGGAAATATTGTTTTCCACTTTATCTAAAAGGAATCATTTATTCCTTTTAAAGGATTAACTGTGTGTCAAAACGCAACATATTGATGCAAGAAAAAATAAATAAAAAAAAGCAGGGATGGAAGGGGTTGAAAATCAGGAAAACATTTCAGAAAAAACATGTGAGTGGGTTGTTTGCATCTACCCTGTCTCAAAGTCGAAATTATTTTATCATCTCTAGAAGTGATTTTCCTGGAGGTAATGCATTCGCCTAACATATGCACCTGTTTAAATCCCCAGGAAATGGCCAAAATCAAACATATGACTGTCCAAAATCTGTTGCGCTAACTTCCCTCCTCCTTTGAAAATCCGATGCAAATGAATCTAATCATGCTGGTAAGCCCTATTATAATCAAGACCATTCCCAAAGTTTTGATATCATAACAACATTGGAGCAATTGTGTATGAAACGTGTGAAATTTTATGAAGAGTGTTCAGATTAGACAGGTTAATTTTTCAAATATGACTGTTCACTGTTCAAATTGAGAGGTCTTCACATTTTAAGTTTTTTTTAACATGCAGTGGTGTGGGAGTCAATGGGAGGAAAAAATGGGACCGAAAAAAGTGTTCAGATTGGGAGGTGTTCGGATTAGCCAGGTGTTCAGATATACAGGTTCTACTGTATTTAGATTTTTAAAACTTAGCTTAAATTATGCTTTTAATTATGACATGTTAGGTAGACACTCAAATCATGACAGTTCAATTCTAAGTGCAAATAATTAATCTTCTTGAATCTGGGGAATATATCAGTTTTGTAAAATATGTATAATTTCCAGATGATGTATATCAAGTCAGCTTTGTCACTGTGTGCCCTGGTTACATTAATTATTGCAGTCAAAGCACGGGTAGGAATATCAGAGATCTTAAAATCACCTTTAATCTTTGATTCATTTTTCTAAATCAGTCTACTAGTATTTGAGTTATTCCCTTGTATAATTACAATATTTCGTGCAAAATAGGTACAATTAGGATTGAGTACTATGTCAAGACAAGGCATTAACGCACAAAATGTCACCACCTGCCATTTGTTACAGACAGACTGTTAGATAATGATTTTACTTATTTCAGCCAAAACAGAATGGCATAGAGCATGCAATACATCAATATTCATATGGCCATGCAGAGAAAATGGGTACTGATTTGTATGCTAAAGTTTAAGAGATTTAATGATCATGTATATGTGAGACATTTTAGAGATTTTTTATTGCTCTAATATGAATGTTTAACTTAACAATACTGAGGGTATTAATGACATGTGATTTTCAAATAATGAAGAAGTGATATTACAGGAAAAATTATTTCAAGTTTTTGCTTTGGTTTTATGAATATTGACAGTGACAGAGGAATAAATCTATCAAATTGTAGTTCCCTAATCACTTCAATTTTTCATTTAGCTCTTCCCTCTCATTGTGGCATGAGGAATTCTGGAGATCGTCAAAAGCGGATAGTGGGGGGAGAAGTTTCGCAACTTGGTGAATGGCCATGGCTGGTGAACATGAGATTGAACACAACTGTTTATTGCCAAAAACTAGGGCAACATTGCAACAGTTCACTCCCATATGAATTTGTATGTGGCGCCTCATTGATACATCCACAATGGGTTCTCACTGCAGGTCATTGCATGTAAGTGGTAGTCATGAAAGGTTAAATCACCATTTAAAATGTGAGTACATGTATGTCTAGTTGGTTTTCCAGAGAACTGAATATGATGTAGTGGAATGAACAGTGGAATGACTAGTTTAGATCGGTTTTGGAGGTCAAGCGGATAAAAAACTAGAAAGCCAAAATTCTCACCTGACAAAACATATCTTATCAAGTCACTCCTTGTTTTAAACATTTCATAATAGAATTAACCAGAACCATGATCTGTAATCCAAATTTTGGAGATTGAATTCTCAAAATTGCATTTTTAACAAAAAATGGAAGCCATTTTGAATCGAGTGGCCATATTAAAAATTCCTTCTCAAGCACAGGTCCCTACTCCTTATGCCCATAAAATATGAACAAAATGTAACAGCCAGTAAATCATATTGAAATCATATTTCTTTGTTGAAAGAGTTAGTAATGACACTAAACATTGGATGATGAGACTCGGAGAACACAACATGTTAGATGACACAGCTCCACACGTTGACGTCCCAGTAGAGAGGATCTATATAAATCCGATGTATGAAATTACGACAGGTATGTTTAGAAATCATTTTCTAGTTTGTAAACAAAATGTCGCAACTTGCAAGACTTACACTGAAATAAAATGAAAGAGCAAAGGATATTGTGATAAAAATGCTGTATCATTAGAGATCTCGGGATTAGAAACTATAATAATGCAATGACCCAAAGGTGCCCAGGGGAACGAGTAACTAACAAGCATAGTTTAACAAGCCAGATACAGATCTGAAAAAAGTGTGCTTAATACAACACCCCGCCCAGTGTTGAAATTGAAGCCAAGACCCTTAGTCTGGATTGGTAGTTAGGATCCAAAGTCTGAAGCTCTACCACTTGAGCTATAAGGGCTAAAGCCACTACAGCTGGCTGGGCTGTAGTAGCAACTTGCTATCAAGGGTTGTTATAATTTACAAGTATGAGTGAAGTATGAAAAAATAAACTTTATAGTATCAGCATGAGGAGGTATATAAACACACTTAGAAGTCCCATAGCATTTTGGAAATAAAGGGGGATTCAGGAAAATTCACAGGATAAGGGGTTAAGAGAATACTCTTACCTTTCTAGGCTATGTGTCTTGACACGGTGAATTCTTAATTTAAGTGAAATTAACTTCAAGATTCCATTTTGAATGGTTGGATTAATTGGACTAATGTGTGCAGAAAATTGTCTAGATGAATTTATCGAAACCATTTTTAAATGAATTTACCACATTACAAGGCTTACAAGGGTAACTCAGCAGTAACATGCTGACTAATTTTGGCCTTGTTCTGTAAATTGATTCTCAGCTTATTAAATTCTACTGTTTGAGAAAATATCCAATTGAATTCAATGTTCAATCAAATTTTCACTGTGCCTTTAATTTCACAGTGAAAATAGGGGCACCTTGAAAATTTGGGCTTTTACAGTATGTAACAGGTATTTGATTTCCCACATTTGATTTATCATATCATGCAATACGTTTATATTTCAGACACTGTATTGTCTGACATAGCATTGGTGAAGCTAAGTGAATCAGCTACACTTAATGAGAATGTCAATGTTGCATGTTTGCCTGATGAGGAAGATCTGACCAAAATACAACCAGGGAGGCACTGTATGGTGGCAGGATGGGGCCTAACAAAGGATTATGTGTATAGTAAGTGCAACAACTAACTTGTCCAAATCAGGGATGCTGTTTGAATACCATTCTCTAGTGAACCCCTCTCTCTAGTGGACACCCTCCCTCCCCACATAATAATCTATTGACTAATGTATTAATTGCCCTCTCTGTAGTGAACACCTAACAACACTGAATGTTTTTTCTCAGCATAAAATGTTCAACATACACAGGTTTTACTGTATACCCAAATTTTAAGTAGTAGGATAGAGTATAAAATATAACAATTTTTCTTACATTTACACTTTTTTGATAAAGTCCAATGCTTAAATGAACATCACACTGATACTTCTCAACATCATTTGCAGCATAAATCATTCAATTCAATTCAATTCAATTTCAACTTATTATTTATTTAAATCTAGTTTTCATACATATACATCTTGCGTAGAAACACTCTAAATAGTGAAGATTCTTATATGGTTCAAAATATGATATCTTGAAGACAAAAAAGTGACATAAAAATTAATGATATTCATAGATAATACTAGGTATACAATTCTCATAGATTCTAAAAGTTGCATTTCTTCATGGGAGTATTCTGTATCTATATTTGATAAAAAATCTAAAAAAACTGTTTTTGTTTTCTTAAGATGGCAGCATATCTGATGTGGTTAAACATATGAGAGTCCCAATTGTCGACCCTGAGGTATGTAACACTAGCATACGTGGTGGACTACATAACATTACGATAAGTGAGAGTGAAATCTGTGTTCATGCAGAAGATACAATTCTTGGACCATGTCACGTGAGCAAAATGACACACATGCATATTCTTAATATTTTATGTTGTAACTTTGTCTTTGGGACTCCGGGACAGAACTGTAACCTATATATTGCTAAAATTGGACATTTTTAAAATGGGCCCCAATATTTCAATGGTCAATATTTTTTCATCTAAATATTGTAGGGAGATTCAGGTAGTCCCATGGTGTGCTATGACGAGGAGGATGAAACATATATTCAGATGGGGGTTGTGTCTAGGGGTGGCATATGCGGAGAGGAGCCTAGTGTGTTCACAAAGGTCAGTTCCTACATTGACTGGATAGAGGATGTGGTGCAAGCTGATGGCATGTCTTAAAGCATAGAAATTGTCATACAAATGTAAAGAGAACATGAAGAAGTATAATAAATAAAAAGATATAATAAAAAGGACTATTTTTTATAAGGTACCTGTACAATTTCAAGCAAATTGAAAAAATACTCATGGAGTAAAAAAATGTTAATTGAAAACCTGATTTTTTCACAATAAAAATGGCTGCCATTTTGAAACAAAGCAAGCTTTTGAGATGGCGCTTATATAGGCAGATTAATAAAAAAGTGAAACCATTTTACTTATCATGGAGGATTTTGCATTAGCAATTTTACAGAGAGACTGACAGCAAATTAGTCATCGCAGCCTTTTAACTCCCCCCCCCCCCTTCAAAATTGCAAAGCGTAAAGTAGTGCAAAGCTAATCTCAATATACTAGGTGCAAGTATAAATAATCTTGATTTACATCATTAAAAATCAAAATTCAGTCGAAGTGATATCATATTTGAAATGTACATGTAAATTTTAAAATTTATAGAAATTTTGTTTTAAAAAGTGGTTTTAAAAACGTTGACAATTTAATTTTCATTGAAAAAGTGACTTCTAGTTTGGAAAGATTCCCCATAGACCCCGTTTTATAAAATCACAATAAGTAAAATATCTTTTCTTATATTGGGCAGATAACATTTTCTTCTACTGGACATACGAGGGGTGATCAATAAGTAATGGACGCTTTTTTACACAGATACTTTTTATAGACCAATCCCTTTGATTTTCCTACCACTGATAGATCATTCAATTATCTATCATTTCTGAGGATTTGAAGACAAAATATAAAATACATGTTGATATATCTTTATTTCCTTGAAGGAGGTACAGGTACCCCGGGACCGACATTTACGTCACATATTCAGTTTTCAGCCAGTTTGGCAAATTTCAATTAGATTTAAACTTTTCTTATTCAACATGTGTTGTGTTGTTTAAAATACTTTGCTGACTGGTCAACACATAAACAGAAAGTATTGTAATGTCATAGTGTTGTATGGAAGGGGTTTGCAGGCCAATTTGAGAAAGCATTGTGGAAGAAAGGGGTGGTGAGAGAAGGGAACACCCTACTCCATATGGACATTGCACCTGCCCACAGATCTCAAAATGTTCAGAAAACAATATCCCTGGACCTCAAAATTGAGCCCTTGGCCAATGCACCATATTGTCCAGATCTGCTCACATGTGACTTATCTATTTCTATACTACTTATTTCTATAGAGAAAGGATGCATGTTTCGATATTGATGAAATAAAACAACCCGTGCAACTGCATTTTGCTACCATGTCAGAGAATGGATTCAGCCTTGTCTCACAATCTTGAATTAAGAGGATGAGGAATTGTGTACATGTAGCAGTTGATGGAACCTATGTAGAGGGCTCTTTGGAATGAATGTGGCATGAATACCACATAGTGATGATAAAATATTCAAAATCAACTATGGCATAACAAAATGGGGTAATTCATGACCATAATGGTTTGTTTTGTTCGGCCTGAATTCAACTGCATTGCATGTTAAACAAGCTAAAATAGCTTCAGAATGTTTGACGTAAATGTTGGTCCCGGGGTACCCATACATCCTTCACAGAAATAAAGATATATCAAAAGATATTACATGTTTTGTTTTCAAATCTTCAGAGTTGATAGATAATTGAATGATGTATCACTGGTAAGAAAATCGAAGATATTGGTCTAAAAAAAGCATCTGTGTAAAAAAGCGTCCATTACTTATTGATCACCCCTCGTATTTCAATTTGTATAACTATATCTTAAAAATAATAGGGTAATATGAGAATTGAAACACTAAAACTGATGAATATTTAAATTTGAGGCAACTTTCTTCTATATATGCCATCTGCTCCATATTAACCACCTGGTGGTGAAACTGGTAACTACCTACTTGCATCCAAGTTATTAAATGTATCTAAATCACCATAATCTGCAATATGTTATGAACAGACTAAGGTCACCATGTAAGCTGATTAACATTAATAATATAGAGATTTCTAACAAGTCAAGTAGTTTCCACTGATTCATGATATTGATAAAGGAGAGAGCAGGGAAAAGTGTAATATTGAGCTCAATACTGTATAACATTGAATTTGCCTATTGCCTAGTTTTTGCCTGGGTTGGAAAACTAAAAAGGCAGAAATATTATCTTCATAATCTTACCCCATGGGAAGTTTCTTGTCATAAGGAAAATTAAAATTAGGATCGAGCAATTAACAAAGGGGAGGGGCCCAAATTTTGAGTCTGGAAAAAGGCCCATTTTTTGAGGCCCTACAAAATTTTAGGGCCCAAAAACTCCCCCCCCCCTCTGATACGCCACTGATAAGTTATAATTTAATAGTGCTTTATTCATAGGTTAAAGAAGGTTATCGTAAATACAACATCTATGACGTGAGATATTTACCTCGCTACTCAAAACTCGAGATAATACGCATTAAGTTAACAAGATATGTCCATATTAGTAGGTGATGTAATTTATTGAACTAAGTTCACAATAAAGACAGTGAAATGACTAACCAACCATATAACTTTTCTATTGACATTTTAATCTAATTTATAATTTATTCATTGATTAAAAAAAGGGTAAAAGTGGCCAATCAAAGAGCGAATATCACATGTGCTATAAAAGGGAATAAAATAATTTAATTGGGTTAACTTTATTAATAAAATATCGTGTGAATTGTAACATTATAATTTATCTACTTATCTTCAAACAGTATTTTAACTGTAAAGTGCTTTTCAAGTCATTAACCTTTGAATGTGAAGTATACTCTATAGCTTTTTTTCAGTTACTCGTCAAAGGAAGTTTTATGGGATTGACACTCGAATCTAAAGAACACCATAAGGCTAAGCTAAAATAAGTTAATAGAATTCTGAATACTGTAAAACACATTAATTTTACGTGCACCTAATTTTCGCAAAAATTTTATGTTTTACTGTAATGCCCTCAGATCGAGATCGGTCGATCGGCCAATAACCTGGAGGAGACATTCTCGCAAAATAATAGTGTAGCAAATTTTCAGTGTTATACAGTATTTTGCAATGTTTGGCTTTTTGGAAAGTCTGTCATAAGAGTTAGTGAAAGAGTTTTAGCCGTGTCTTTATCTACTGGGAAGGATTTGTAAAATAATTAGGATCATAAAATTTAGATTACATGAAATATGATTTCTTAAACTCAACTCCATCTTAAAATTTTTTTCAAGAGCTAAAATAAATATTAGATCGAATATGTAGATTTATCAATCCAAGCCGACAAAAAACCAATCTTAAGAAAACAAAGATCAAATTCATGGGAAGACAGGTTCGACAAACAAACAAAAAAGATTTTCTGTGTGATAACAAATGATAATAAAAAACGTCATAAGTGCTTCACAATTAGATGCCTGTTAAGCACGTATTCTGGATCATATAACTAGGTATACATACTTCACAAGGTGTCTAACCCTCGCTAGGTCACTTTGACATTTTAACATAAGCAGTTAACCTATTTTTGTATTATCTGTCTACTCTATGGGGCACAGTGACTACTGAATTTAATATTGAACCTGATTGTTCACACAGAGAAAACAATATGTACGTTGTAAAAGTGCAATATGAAAAACCCATCCGAGTTCGTAAATAATACTTAATCATTGAATTTTGTCATATTTCAAGTTCAGTATGTATGTATGTTAGTATGGCAGTTGCATTTGTGTATCATTTTGCGGTGTTTAATCAAATGATAAAATTTATTTGTGACTATATTGTAACTTGTGTTATATCCAAAGTTGCTTGCATCTGTTCTCTTTTTAAACAATGCATGAATATAATTTCAAAGTAAATCATGTTGTAATTTTGCCAGAGTTAGAAAGAATCTTATCATGTTTTACATAAAATTCCTACAACTACCCCCCCTCAAATGCCTCATTTTATCTATTTTTCAAAATAGAAGCAGTTAAGGTTAATCCAAAGCTGATTCAAGACTTCTCTCATGTAAGATTTGAATATTAAACCACATCACCCTTTCTGATTCCTACTCTACTAAAAGTAATCCCCCTACCTGTTGAAAGTAGTCCCAGTCGACGTCAGCATTATGAGACCACAAGACTTTCCCTCTCGACTCGTCAGATTCATCACCCGCATCTTTCTCCTTTGGTTCTACCTCTTGAAAGATCACCTTGGAGTTTCGCGTGAAATTTTTTCCAATTATAAATAGCTCCTGACCCCCTACAGCATAGGCGTGTTCTAGCGATTTCTTTGAGATTTCAGGCTGACCTGCAGGCTGAGCTAAAAATTATCAAGAGTGGGATAACATGGGGGTTGCGAATAGGAGCAATATAATAGCTTAAAGTAAAAGATGGCTCCCTCAAAAACTGATCAGTTCAAATCAATCCATCAAGGCATTTTTCTGGAATTACGCAGACAAGAAAGATAGACGCCACCTGCTTTTTAGGTACGATAAAAATTGATTGACATGGATATGAATTATCTAGGGCTACGCCCTCATCATTTATCTTTTTTAGGTCATTCATTGAAAATCAATATTATCTAAAAAGCTTTCATGTGATAACTATAAGGAGTGAACCCAACAACTTCAAAATGTGTTTGCATCTGAGTATATTGATCTGCAATCGATCAATCCAAAGTAGATGTATAAAATTTCCAAAGTAAAGCATAAAAATCCTATATAAAATAGTCTAAATGCACATACTGCAAAGAATGGGATCTGAGCAAGCTTGTAACGTCAAGTACGATCCATCAGGTTTAACGAGATTTACACGGAACACGATCCTTGCTTTTGTACTTTTCTTCTTGGATCTCCCAGCACCTGATCGGTTCTCAACATCAGCATTTCTCAGTTTCAGGATTCCAAAGCAGTCAACACTGTAAGCACAAAGAAACAAATTGTTATTAAATAGGAATAATGATCAGCCATCCTCATCAGTATTGTATGCCTCTAAATCCTCCCATACTTGAACAAAGACTTGCCTTCTGCCTTTTGCTATCCATAAGCTCTGTACAAACTACCTGAGTATAAGAGATGTGGAGTAATGAGGGACT